TTCTTTTGTCTCTTTGTCGGTTTTCTGTTATTGTTTCCACTCCAGTATCACAATGACTTCTAAACGAATCTCTCATACTGCGACGCTCCGATTGCTACGAAAGACGAAGAAGGCAGCAGACAAAATGTCAGAAAGTACTTCAAAAATGTCCAAGGAATTAAATTCTGGTGACAACGCATGTTTAAAGTACATAAAGTATACCGAAGGCCGCTAGATTTCTGGAGCATATGTAGTGTGATTGTCATGAACAACTGCTCAAATTTTGGGGCTGAAAATGTAGTGCTGAAAAGTTTGAGTTCCCGAGATCAATTAGTAAAGGTGAATTCCGAAATGAAGGCTATTGAAGTCCCAACATTGACGGTCCGGGATTTGCAAAATGTAATTGTAAGACTTTGGACAAAAAAATGTAAAAGTTATAAAAAAAATGTTCCCAGCCGTATGAACAATAATCTTATGACTCAAATGTATGTAGTAAATAAATGCAACTTCCCATTATATTTCATTTTTGACTAAGTGCCTAATGCCGTATTGAAACATAATGAAGTGCTAAGATCTTTGATGAAATGTCCATTTATTATATGGTCTTTATGGGTTCATTTTATCACTAATTCAAATTTGAATAAATGTCTAGTCATTTGAGCAAGTTACGGATTTTGCTAAGTGACTGCAACACAAAGAAAAGTCTGTGTAAATTTTTATTTATGAAATTTACCCGTAAAACATGATATAAAATTATGTATATCATATTATATGTTGTTCTTCCTTTACAATTTATGATCGATAATTAAACATTTTTTACGAATATAGGAAATGAACTCGCAAATATTTAACGTAGTTTTTCGTATAAATAGTGTTTGTTTGGTATAATACCAAAACCCGATTAAACAAGCCAACAGAAAATCAGAACAAAACTGAAATTATGAGAAGGAAACTAAAGTTGATAGTGTAGTTGAGATACTAGGATTAGTCATCACTGACTGGAAACCTATACAAGTCGAATCTTAGCTGTAGCACGTAGAAAATATGATGTCACAATTGATCGGGAGGGCTGATGGGGTAGCATGAGGCTGAATTCATGACGTCGATTTTATATCGCTGTTATTCCATATCCGTGTGGATAAATACGTGATTTGTTTATATAGTACATCGGAGAAATTTTTGCATTAACCTACTTTCGCTTTAATTTTTTCACACTATTTCTAAATAAATATGAATCTATAATTTTTACATGCTAAAAATGACAAAAAAACATTTATATTTTTCCTATAAAAATGAAAGTAGCATAAAAAAAGAGATAGATTGATTAATTCAGAAAGAGAGAGGGAGGAAGAATGAGGGAAGAAGAGAAATACACAAATAAATGAAATGGCAAAAATCAATTTTGAGACACATAACTTCAAACAGACAGAAAAAAAGATCCAGAAATGATGAAAGAAAGAGAGGGAGAGAAAGAGAATATGGATGTAAAAAGAATAAATGGAATGTGAGATAGTGTAAGTAAAAGTAAAAGAGAGTGAGAGGGAAAGAGAGAGAAAAATATGTAAAAAATAGATTGATTGATAGTGTGAGAAAACTAGATAGTGTGAGTGAGAGTATGTGGAAAAGATAGTGCGGCAGATCATGAGAGGGAAATGAATGAGAAAATATGAGTGAAAGAGAGAGAGAAAGCTTGAAAGGGAGATGAAAATAAATGAATAAAGGAAAAGTGACAAAAAGAGATAGATGGATGTTAAGATAAGTTGATTAACAGACGTAGAAAGAGAGAGAGAGAGAGAGAGAGAGAGAGAGAGAGAGAGAGAGAGAGAGAGAGAGAGAGAGAGAGAGAGAGAGAGAGAGAGAGAGAGAGNGAGAGAGGGAGAGAGAGAGAAAGAGAGAGAGAGAGAGAAAGAGTGAGACCCAGAGAAAGGTAGAAAGAAAGAAAGATAGATGGATAATAAGATAAATAGATACACGGACTTAGAAAGAGAGAGAGAGAGAGAGAGAGAGCCAGAGAAAGATAGATAGACAGATGGATAGATGGATATTAAGATAAGTAGATACATGGACTTAGAAAGAGAGAGAGAGAGAGAGAGAGAGAGAGAGAGAGAGAGAGAGAGAGAAGCAGTGAGTGAATAATTGTGTTAGTAGGTGATAGTGTAAGATTATTCCTTTGTTTGTAATGTATAAATAAATACCAGAAACGTTAGCAGATTCGTTTGAAGTATATTCAGTGTTATTATTAAAAGAAAAAGGAAGGTGAAGCAATTTAACTCATGACCTTTGCACCTCAACGAAATTAAGACATCTTTCCTACATCAAACAACGAAGTAAATAATACAAATGTATTTATAATTTTTATAACAAGTGTGGTTGAAATGAAAAATTACTGGCACGGCTTTCTGACCTTATCTCAACCACTTTTTACATAAAAAATGTAAATCAATTTAAATAATTATTTTAGATAAATAAGACCGACTAAAATACATATAGTTTAAATAAATAATTTAACTTGTTAAAAAAATTAACTAGTGAATGAAAGCATTTATTTAATATTGTATAAACCTACGTTTGTACAATAAATTATTTGAATAATTGAATAATAAAACTTGTGTTTTGTGATGCCATTTAAACTCACATATATAAATGGGGTTAGTAGTTCTTTTTTTCTGATAGATTTGTTGCAATCTGTATCGTTGCGTTAATAAATCTTGTATCCAATTTTTTTCTCTCCCGTGAGATGAATTTCTGTTCAAACAATGCCAATATAACACTCAGCGGATTGTTTGTTGTAATGGATTTTTTCCTTTTGCGTTTTAAAAAGCGTGGTTGAACACCTCTGTGTTGATCGAACGACAAAATCAACATGCGATGGGCAAACTCTGTCCTCCGATTCAAAAAATATTGGAGGGTTTTATTTACACGGTAGTTGTTTCAAGTCAATATCAATAAAATTATTTATTTTACATGTAAATAAAGCTAAATTTAATATTCAACGTTAGAATTCATTATTTCTTGGGTTATGCAGTAAGGAAAATATTACGGTTAAAAAAGTATATTATTCTGTTTTTTTAACTCATCAGGTAAGGATTATGCCGAAACTTTCTGCGGGTAGACAAAACCGGGTTATTTTCAATCATAAACAAAAAAAGCTTGGCTGTCCCGGTTTCTACCCTTTTATGACAAAATTAATATATCTCAGGAACCCACGGGCGCGAGGGACACTGTCTACATTTTTTGTCGCAATTTTCTAAAGGGGACTTGTTAGATGGAAGCAGAAGGGCATTGTGTTTGGTCCGGCCAATTTATATGGTAATTCCCATCCCTGCAGTTCTAGGCTTGGGCTCGGAATGTAATTTAAGATGGTTGAAGACCCTGAATTTTTAACACCTGTTTTCATTTTCTTCTCTGCTACTACAATTTCGGCCCCTATTTCGGGTATCACGGTGAAGAATAATGCCGTGTCAAGTTGACAAGGCCTGAGTAATACCGGTTGAAAACTGCCCTCGAGGTATTAACTGTGCACCTATTAACTACGAAGTCTTTATTAACTGACATACTTATTAAACAACTTTGTCCTTCCAGTTATATAACATAAAGAAATTTGAATATAAAAGGGTCTCACATGGCTCGTCGCAAATTACACTTTGAAGGAAATGTGTTTCTAAAGACTTCCGATATTACTTCCCTTTAAACTTAAAATTTTAGAACGTTTTAAGCTTCAAATTTTATCTATTTTTAAGGGTTGTATGTGAGTGGAGAAAGAGAGAATGTGTGAGTGTGTGGGAGAAAGACAAGAAATGTAGAGCAAACATCAATACGGCGCTACGGTTTGTTAAACCAGCACGACCAATCTGTCATTTGGGTTTTAATCTATATCAACGCCTTACTAAAAAGAAATTACTTAAGAAATTCCTACCAATGAAGAGAAAGTGAAACTAAGATTGCACTTTGCACTCGCATATTTTGCCCACTTTTCAGAAAACCATGTTAACACCAGTTCTTGGACTGGGTATTCGTAAAATTCACGCGCTCTCTGGATCAAGACCATATCTTGATTGAGGGAATAGGCGTCGATAATTCTAATACCAAAATTCATAAAATTGACCGAAAAACATGCATGATTAATACACTATTAATTTACACTATTTTATTATATTTCAGATTTTCCAATAACGGACACACATCCTGAAAACTGTGCCATGTATTTCTTTACCATTCTATATAATTATTGTCTTTATTTCCATTCAGCCCTTCGCATAATCATCATAATAATACTTAAGAAAACGAATGAAACATCTATAAAATCAAATAGTTTAATAGTCTAGTTTTCATTAAATAGTATATCATGATTTATATTAAAATAAAATATGATTTAGGATAACATGTTGCTTCTATTTCTCTGTATTTAATTAGTACCGTGACAGACAAACAATGTATGAATTATTTTATGATCAAGAAAAAAAATCCGCTGTAATTGTATTATGTGCTTGTCAAAAAAAGAAGATTTATAGTAGATTTAGCAATTTCATTAAGGTAAATAATTTTGCCTGAAAACATACAAAAAATTGATTGTTATGGATATTTACAATTGGTTCTGTCAGTGTTTTCGGTCATGTAATTTTTCATATGTCTTCCATGTGAAAGAAATTTTGGAAAAATCATTAAAACAAATACTACTAGAATTGATTTTTTAGTAAATGTTCATTTTTTTAGTTCTAATTATAGGCTGCGTAGCTAGTGATTAGTTTGCTCATAATTGGATCTCGTGTCACGTTTTCAAAGCCCCTAAGATACTTTCATACAATTTGAATTTGCCCAGAATTCTAACGTGTTTTAACTAAAACCAATGTATATTATGAATTGTTTCCATTTGATGTCCAAATCATTTTTGGGTTTTGTATTGTTAATATACAAAATAAAATTGATTCTACGAATTTTAGAAAAAATTCTTACTTACCCGCTGTTTTTGAGGTCACAGTTTCTATGTATTTTAATTAAAATTTGGTTTGAATTTGTTTCAGATAAAATGTCGGAGTTGATGATGATTGGAAAATCAATGGGTTTCATCATACTCTTGTATTTTCTCACCCTAATTCATCTACCCGAAGCGAAGCCACAAAAAGGTAAGACAATAAGGATAAATAAATGTATAACCTAATTAACGTTCGTTTTAATTTCTTGCTAAAACTAAACGGAGGGTTTGAACCTCGCCTCGTAAGTACCGTTAAGCCCAAAGCCATTTTGTCAGATCGTCTAACTTAAGTGGGTGGGATCAAGAATTGCATCTAATTCGTAAAACCATCCATTTACGCCGTTAGCCTCTGTTGGGGCATAATTGATTCATTAGCGGTTGGCCAGCGCAATTTGAAACTTTCAAAAATTTGCAGTTACCCACCGAAAACAGTTAGAACCGCATAATTGATGGAGTTTTTTTTTCAATTTATTTTCTCTTAGGCTGGCCACAAATAAATAACCAAATGAATGCGCAACCGAAGAATTTCAAGAGACAGGCCTTTTCAGAAATGCCACACCGTTCAAAACAGGCCCTTACTTAAACTGAAATTAATAATTACGATTCCGGGCGCTAAATATTATTCGCTTGATAGACGTAATTAGGTTTCCATGAGTCTTTTCTCAGCTCCTCCCTTCTGAAGATCTCTTCACCCTTAACGAGTTTATGCAAATAGCTGACGAAGAAGAATAAGTGGTAATTACAAGACGGTTTTTGTACTCAGTTTTTAATCTTTTCTTACTTATTTATCATTACTTATTCACCAGTCGATCATTTTTTAAATATTTTTTTAATATAAGGCAAAATTATTACTTATTGGTTATGTTATCATTTTTGTGTGGTGTTTAGAAACCGTTAGTTAATGATTATTCGGAGATCGTGAGATGCGGTCTGGTGTGACGTTGGTTTTAGAAAAACATTTTCTTTATCGTGCCAACTTTCGATCACAAAGAGCTTTTTTCCCCTGAAGATTATTTCAATAAAAATCAAAACGTTGGTACGATAAAGAAAATATTTTTCTAAAACCTACATCACACCAGACCGCATCTCACGACCTCCAAATAATCATTAATTAACGGCCACTAAACACCACAACTTTCATATCATTTTTTGTTCGTCCATAATTTTGTTATTTCAGATAAACTTTGATTTTTCTGTTTTTGATGCTTTGGTCTAAGCTCACAATTGAAACATGGTTAAATGTCAATACTGTCATGCTGGATTCATTGAACTAAAGAAAACGTAGTACAGTGTCACCAGAACGAGTTTTCCATCTTGACATAGAGTAGTAAATATTTGTTATTTTAATCTAAAATCAGATTTTTTTTGATAAAAGTGTAATTTGTCATCTTTAGCGTTTTCGAAATATAAATCTGACTTCAATTTCAAAAACTACATTTAATTTTCTACAAGATAACATTTTCGTTGAAAAATTTGGGCTTGCAAATACCCCTTAGCTGCTCAATTAATAACAAATGGTAAAACTTCTTTTTTTTTCAAAACAATAGAAGCTCTAGCCTTGATTTATTCATTAAAATTTTCAGCGATTTCACAAATGTTGATAAATTTTATATATTCCAACAGCACACTTACTTGTACATATTTTAGAACTTTCCTAAGTGTTCAAATTTTTCATAAATCTTCTTCGCAAGGTTGCAAAAGGTGATATCTATCCCAACGCCAATACAAGAAAAGCGTACATGTATCATTTTTTAAACATTTATTATTTGGCTGCGACCCTTTTTCCCAAACTAAACTCTCCAAAGATGAAATAGTTGATGTTAATAAAAACTTCTCTCACAACACGATAGACAAGAATGACTCATCTACACGGAAAATAAACATTTTCAGCCCTGAAGATGATCTCAATAAAGATCAAAACATTGGCACGATAAAAAAAATGTTTTTCTAAAACGTACGTCACACCAGACCGCATCTCACGATATCAGAATAATCCTTATCATTTATGTTAGGTTTTCATTTTATATTTGTTCAGTATATATTAATTTTATATATTCTCGAAATTTGAGATAAAAACGTCACAAAATTAAAATACATATTGATTCTGTAATATTTAATGCTGTCGATAAAATGTTATAAAACCGTTATCATTATTTTACTAGTGTTAAAAGAAAAAAAATGATGTTTTTTTAATACTTTTTTTCGTGTTAAACTTACTTTCTAACCCATCTTGTCAATTTTATTGTAAATTAAATATGAAACGCAAGAAAATTATATTATTCGCAATATTTAACTCCTTGAGCGGAGAGGACTTGGAGAAATTTGACTTTCTTAAAATTAATTACAGTTTCAATTAACGTTCTATCAACGAGCAGGCTTGCCCATTGAGGACCACCTGCCTTAGCCTTTTTACTAAGAAAATATATGGCCCTTTATTCTTTTTCTGCCTCTTGCCTAATGTACATTCCCTTTTACTTGAAATGAAATTAGGTAATGTTGCTGGGATTGCTGAAGTGAATCTGTGTTCTCTTGTCTTTAGGCAACTTGTTTTTTTTCTCTTTTAATTATTTTTATTTTCATCAACATAATTCAATTTGGCGCAAATTTAATTTAACGTTAAAACATTCACAATTTATTATTTGTAGTTGATATTAAATTATAGTTGTTTAATTTAAAAATTACTTAAATTCACTATTTTTCGTGGTGCGCGTGACCAATTAATAACATTCAATTAATTAAGGTTTTAAGTTGAGATAAAAAAAGTCAGTGTCACGAGCGGGATTCGAACCCACGACCTTCGGCTTGATGCGACGCTACTCTACTACTTGAGCTATCGTGACTTCGATCCCCTCGGATTTTGCATTTTCCCTCCTTTTTGCCATTTTTCCAAAATTACTGTTAATAACTAAATAAATCACTTTTTTGTCGGCTAATGTAATAAAATTACGCTGACTAGTTAAAAATTATTATCTAAACGGCTAATATTATTCATAGTGAAAATTGATCAAAAGTAATAGTTCAGTTTAGGAAGAATAATCCATAAAAGATTATAACCAGCAGATAGGAAACTTTATACATTATGATATATTATCTTTTCATTGTACGAGAAGGAAAATTTGGAATTATGTATCATATTAATTCAATTAATTAATATTTATGAAAGGTATTGGTTAAGATAAAAAAGTCAGTGTCACGAGCGGGATTCGAACACACGACATTTGAAAAATAGCAAAAAGGAGGGAAAATTCAAGAGGTTGAGATGGGAACTTAATGTCCGAGTGGATCGAGGTCACGATAGGCCAAGTGGTAGAGCAGCGGCGTATCTAGCCGAAGGTCGTGGGTTCGAATCCCACTCGTGACACTGAATTTTTTATCTCAACCAATACCTTTTATAAATAATAATTAATTGAAAAATGTTAATTGGTCAATCGGACCACGAACTGTAATGGATTATCATATTAATGTTTCATTATTTCCTTGCTATAATTTTCTGAAATGTTTATTTAAATTATAAGATTAATTTGCTAAACTAGTGGTTGTTGTCGTATAATAGTAAACATATGTCATTATGATTTTTGCGATGTTCCAACAATTCCAAAACTTTTCTCAACTTATCTCACATTTAATGAAGTTCAAATGGACTTCCGATCTGATTTCAATGATCCTTGACGTATAATGGGTTAACAACCGCCAAATTTTGAAAGTTGAGTTTTAAACTGCAAGGGCAAAAAGCGTTGCGTGGGCTGGTGGAAGAGCATATTAGGTTTTGGGGTTTAATATCCAGAGTCTTGAGCAGATTGAATTAATCTCAGAAGCCGAGAAACAAAAGTTTTTCCCCAAGGAACTTTATTCTTAAAAGTTTCACTGCCACCGTCCTTCGCCGCGCTCTTAATTTCGTTTAAAACGTTAAAAGGACAGCCTCGGGTGATGGGAAACAACTTTCATATGGACCTGTACTGTTCGGAAATATGTGAGATGTTCTGAAATAATTGTTCAATATTTAGTCGACATAAAAAATGAGGATTTTTTTTTCGGAGAAAAATTCAGTTTGGCAAATTAATTAGACTGTTAGTATTGACATTTAAGCGGTAATAGTTCACAAAGAAATATAGATGGCGAAATATTTAATTGATGAGTAATATACCCATTAACGATAAAGTAGAAAAAGAAACATTTTTGTTTATTATTGGGTTTTTCTTCATTTGTTTTAAATTTTCTGTATGTCCATTGTAATCTGGGAAATTATTTACTTTATAAAAACCATAAAATCGCCAAAATCAAAGCCCCCATCAAGATCAAACATCGAAATTTTTATGGATTTTGCCCAGTCCCATAAGGCTTTCTTCATTGTTGGCAGAAGCTACAATCATATCCTTGGTGTATGAGGGACATCCTAACCTAGGATGTAAACATTTTTTAAATGGTCAGAAAAGCTTGGCTCACATTAAAAGATCTATCAAAAATTTGTTTTATCTCTGAATATGGTATGATGACTAACATTATATTTTATCATTTTTACATATTTCTATATTTATATATCTTCCACCCACTATCCATCTCTCTGTCTGTCTGTCTGTCTGTCTGTCTGTCTCTCTCTCTCTCTCTCTCTCTCTCTCTCTCTCTCTCTCTCTCATTCTCTCTCTATCTCTATCTCCTATCTATCTATCTATCTATCTATCTATCTATCTATCTATCTATCTATCTATCTATCTATCCATTTACCTATCTATCTATATATCTTTATGTGACGCTCTCTCTTAATTTAATCTTACTGAATTTATTATCCTTTTCTCATTTTATTTTATGTTTTTTTCTGATTTTGTATATTCACACTATCGAACGGTTTTTGTACATTCAGCTTTTATTCCTTTTTTATTCTTCTCTGCCGTTCTTTTCCTTCTTGCTCTCTCTGTCTCACGCCCTCTCTATTTATTCTTTGCAATCAATTTCTCTTCCTATATTTCTATATGCCCGCCTCACTCTCTTCAATTGTTTTACATTTAACACACCTTTTTTTTCTGGACCTGTAATGGGATTTCCACATATATCCCAGAGAAACCTGTATCCAAAAGGACAATTGACGTAAAATGTTAAACGAAAAAATGTGTATATGTCCAACGTCTTCTAACTTAATTAATATTATTAAAATCA